CAATTTTGGTTATTAAAATATAAATCCACTATGCGTGTCGTTTCTCTTGGGCATCTATTGTCAGCAAACGTTTTGATATGTTTACGTAGTTGTTCATAGATTTTTCTCTCCTCATCATTGTTGTGTCGTTCCATATACACAAACATGGTTTCGTGTCCTCAACGGATTGTTGAGATAACACTCGAGTATGTTATCGTAACGTTGTAGTTTTTCCAATAATATTCTTCCACATAATGACAATGAGCCTTTTTGGCCAATTCTAATTGTTCTTCATCGTTGGTTATGGCATCGAGACAATTATTGACAAGCAACTCATGCCAAGCATTCTCCCGTTCGGAATGTAAGCGAGCACTTTCATTTTCTATCGACTTCTTTAGATAAATAGTTGAGGACTTTTTCGAGGAGTTGTGTATCGGCTGGCAAGCAGGATTGTGAGATCTGTTGAGCAATGAAATTGAGTAGACAACCATTTCGGACCACTGAAAAAGAGGAAAGGAAAATCAGTAAAAATAAAAATGTCTAAAAAATGTTCATACAATGTTTAAGTGATATTTTAATGATATTTTTCACTAATATTTTAGTGAAATTTGGTGAAACTTTTTCATTAAAAGTACGGTAGAAACATTAAAAGTTTGGTGAAAAACTGTTCACTAAAATTTTCACAAAAAAAATTGCTGAAAAATTTTCACTAAAAAATTTGGTGAAAATTTTTCATTAAAATATTTGGTGAACATTTTTCATTAAAAAATTTGGTGAACATTTTTCATTAAAAAATTTGGTGAAAATTTTTCACTAAAAAATTTGGTGAAAATTTTTCACTAAAAAATTTGGTGAAAATTTTTCACTAAAAAATTTGGTGAAATTTTTTTACTAACCAATTTAGTGAAATTTTTTTACTAACCATTTGGTTGAAATTTTTTACTAACCAATTTGTGAAAAATTTTTCCACTAAAAATTTTATGAAATGTTAACCAAAAAATTGGTGCAAATTTGTAAAAAAAAAATTGGTGAAAATTTTGCATTAAAAAAATTGAAAATTGTTCACTTAAAAATTTGGTGAAAAATTGTTCACTTAAAAATTTGGTGAAAATTTTTCATTAAAAAATTTGATGAAAAATTTTCACTAAAAATTTGGTGAAAATTTTTCACTAAAATTTGGTGAAAATTTTTCACTAAAAATTTGGTGAAAATTTTTCACTAATAAAATTTGGTGAAAAATTTTTCACTAAAAATTTGGTTGAAAATTGTTCACTTAAAATTTGGTGAAAATTTTTCATTAAAAAAATTTTGATGAAAAATTTTCACTAAAAATTTTTTGAAAAATTTTCACTAAAAATTTAGTGAAAATGTTTTCACTAAAAATTTGGTGCAAATGTTTCACTAAAATTTGATGAAACTCCGTTTTTAATAATCAGCACTCACCGTATTATTTTTCCGGCGTCATAATTTCCAACAATATATTTATAATCCTTTGCGATGCTGGAAACCCAGTTCACAATTGAATTCCTTCTCCTGAAAAGCCAACGATATCACATTCAAAGTCTCGCGTATATCAAATTTCAATAGGGCCCTCAAATAGGGATATGGCAATTCATCCGGTTCACTAGTATTGGAATGCAGCGGAAGTCAAACAACGCAAAACATCATGTTTAACATTTTGTCTTAGTTCCTCGGGTATGTCACCCTGAGGATAACCACGACCGGCTAAACTACTAGAAATATAACCAAAAGGCAATTACCCAAATCAGGATGTTCATAGTCCAGCAAGGGTATAAGTTCCGTTAAAGAAACAGTGTAGTCATGCAAAGCATTAGCATTTAGGAATATTTGTGCTTTATAGAGTTTATATTTTTTTGGCCGCCTTAAGAACTTGATTTAAGTCCAAACAGGTCCAGTTCCATTTTAAGATAATTTCTTCTAATTGTGAGGGTGATATCTTAAGCCAATATTCTACTAGGGCTTGGGAAATAATAGGGTTAACACGTGTATATCGTCATTTTCTATATGTGCGGTAATGTGGTGTAGGAATAGTTCTTTGTTCTGTAAACGTTCCCATAGCTGGGTCCATAGCAGTTCTAGCTCTCCTATGGTTATGAGACATTTGATAATGGCGCCTAAACAGTAATCGGGTGCTCTAGCAGAAGCCGCTATGTACTCCTTAAATAACATAATAATACGCTCCTTGGCTGTTGTTTCCTTTTGGGACGCTCGCCTGCCGCTTTATAGCCATCTAAGGCTAAATCACAGGCCTCCTGCCAACGTTGATTTTTAACCTAAAAGAAAATCAGTTATTGCTAACACCTTTAATGGTAAAGTTTACTTACCAAATATGTTATCCTCTCCATCCAAGTTCTACACACCAATCGAATGCATTGATTTGCTCCCAAAACATACAGCTGTACCCCACGGCAAGCTAAAGAATTGTAGCAGGCATGTGTGCCAGCCAAAGCAAAGCGGGCGAAACATTACCACCCGTAGCCAAACCCTTTAAATTGTGCCGAACCATAAACCATACCAGCATTGGCCACATCTATACATTCCAATTCCTTGCTGGTTCGCACATCTAACAAATGTAAAATTTCCGAAGTTATCTATACAACCCACACATTTGGGTCCCAGCCAGTGGGCGGACAGTAGATTTGTTTGCATGGTTATATGCCGCAAAAGCAGTAGAGTTATGCGTCCATGCGAGATAAATAATTGATGGAAAAATAGTTGATTGCCACGACCCACTACGAGTACAGGATCTACAGATCTGGAGGTATCGGCAGCTTGTATTAAAAACCATTTGCCAGCTAAAACAGGCAAACAATAAGGTGGCCCTTGCAGCAAATGATATTTGATAACCTTTAATCTTGGTCTTATGGTGACTATAAAATATTTCGATAATGTAGCCAATGCCACTATACAGTATTGATCTAAATCATGATGTTCATTGGTCTGACTTAATAAAGGTTCCACTGCACATACCTCACCACGAGCACCGGAAAAAAGACAACGTGTAGAGCAGCCTCTGACCCCCCGCTTACGGGTAAAACTTAAAGACCATACCGATCCGCAGAATCGGCTGCTAAAGCCATAGCTGCCCGGGAAGTCCATTTGACATGTAGTACTCCGTATTGGGAGTAACCACATCGAATAATTGACGCATAACATCACCCGATTGAGTATCAAGCATTATTACTAGACCACGAGCAAAACCGGCCAAAAGACGATTACACTCTGGATTGTAGGACATAGAGGAAACAGCTCCTTGACCATTTTTATCTTGGTGAGCCCATCGTAAGTTTGTGTTACATCGAAATTGAGTATATGGCCATGAGAAGTACCCACTGCATAGTAATGACTACACACACAACACGAAGAGGCCATACCGGCATTAATACGATCCGCTGCCGAGGATACTTGAGTTGAAATGCCTTGCAGCATGGTATAACGCATAATACTGCCTCCACCACCCGAACCCGACATACGCACACTGCTTTCATCTGCTATAGAAGGTGTGGGGGTGGGTGGTGGTATGCCCAGCTCTGAGGCTATATCAGAATCAGCTTCAAATTCACTTAAAACTGTTCCAAGGAAGGTAAAGCGCCGGTGGGTGGTATTGAGTATTCCACATCATCCAACTATAATTAACATAAATGACTTACAGCAACAATAACAAAAATATGTTTTATTGAACAACTCACCTCTTCCATATCGAGTAGTGATTCTGCCAACAAACTATCCGTGGAACCGCGATCCGAACCCAACAGGGAATTTAAGGAAGGAGCCTTCACTCATTCATTATTTTTTAATATTTTTATACAAAAAGCTATTTGTATTACAAAAATTTATCAATTAAATTTGATAGTTTTTTAAATGCGGCTTTAATCCGCCCCTCTGCTTATAACAATTGTTGTAATATATATTTTGTTATTTAACAATATTTTACACAATTTTTAATGTTTTTATATTTTCACATATTTAACAAGTTTTTCTTGTAAGAGATTGTAAAATTATGATTAAATTTCACTTTGATTAGGAAAAAATTGCACTTCTTTATCAAGAAAAAATCTTTTATTTATTTTTTGCACAACAAAATTAATCAAACGGCATTAAAACAGAGCTGTCAAAAACAGATAGTAGTAGAAAGTTGCCAGATGGTTCATTAAGAGTTTAAGGGAAATTGTTGCTTGCCAGTGTAAAGTATGTGAAAGAGGTGTAGAAAATGTAAATAATGTGAGCTAAACTAAGAAATTAATGTAAATATAGTAAGTTTTTAAATTGTTTAATGAAATTTTTAGATTATTTAAGTAAAAATAATGATTTGTATATATAAAAGATATTGTATATATAAAAGATATTGTATATATAAAAGATATTCGATTTGTATATATAAAAGATATTTGTTTTGTTTTCTTATTTGCATACCTTCTCTGTCAAAATATGTTTTTGTTTATTTGAAACAAAATAAAATTTAATAATAAAAAATTTAAATGTTTAGTTTGTAAAAAAATAATATTGTTTGCACAAAAAATACATTTCAACCATCTTCCGCATTGCGCCCTTTCTGAGGTCCACGTTGCGAAGGCTGTTGTCTTTAGCCACACTTTGGTAGCCACAACACAACTTTATTGGCACAAATCAGGCCATTCAGATATCAACAATCTTTAGTATTGCGCCCGTTGTTTGGCCCACTTTCGTTTGCCAAACTTTTGTAGCTAAAGATACAAATTTAGTGGCACAAATCAGGTTATTCCAAAATTACTGCATGTTTTTTGAAATAAAATTAAGAATTTTTTTAAAAGACAAATATTTTTATTACTTTTGACATTGAGCTCATACAATTACAAAAACAAAATACATGTTGTTTTTGTATTGTTGTAGTGATGCATATACCTGTTTAGTGTACCCTGAATTTAGTTTACTTTTTAAATATTAACGATTTTTGTCCACTACACATTGATAACGTAATTCACTTAAAATTGATAGCTAAATAACTTAAGAAGACTACCAATTATCTAAACAAATTTGTGTTGTAAATTTTTTCCAGAAACAGGTAATCGGTACTACGTATTAAGTAAACAAGTGCATATTTTTTACTTTTGTTGTTCTTCTATAAATACAATTTGTATTTGTTTAAAAAAAATTGCCATACAGCAGCAACAACAATTAATTACTAATACAGCTATATACAAAAATATTTATTGTACAGAAAAACATAAAAAGTTCCTAAAACTGAACAATTCTTTTGAAAGTGAGTAAAAACTTTATATTTCGAAAAAAACTTGCCACATATTTTATTTGAAAACTCATCAATATTCAAACTTGATTTCAATTGGGTTAAGCTACCAAAAAAAGCATAATTAATGTTCGTCTAAACTAAAGGTCGCAATTTTAAAGATAATAAAATGGAATTAGGTAAAATGTAAATACCTAGGAACATGTGTACATTAAATTTGCAAAGAAATAAACAATACTTTTTTTTAACATTATAATATGTACTTTCAAAAAATTGGGATCAATCTGTAGGAATTATAAAAAATTTTCTTTAAATAGGTAGAAAATTCATCGAAAATTATTTAAAAATAAAATTTATTTCAAAAATTTTCTATTAAATAAATCTATCGAAAATTTTCCATAAAAAGGAACAATTTTGAACAATTTCCATAAAAGAGAAAATTTAACGAAAATTTTCTAATTGTAAAAAAGTAAAATATTCTATCAACAAATTTCAATAAAACCAAAATTTATCAAAAAATTCTGTTAACTGAAAATGTAATAAAAATTTACTACAAGTTTTAGAAAATTTCAATCAACAAAAAGTTAAATTTAATAAAAATGTATTAAATATTTTTTTATAGGAACATATCATAATACAACCATTATATTATGGGCAACATATATAAAAAAATATTCTACAAAAAATTTATATTCAAAAGTGAATTAGAAATTGAAAATTTTACTAAAAAGTGAATTTATTTCATTTTATGATGACCTTTAGCCCGCAACCTATTTTCTTAACCCCTTTAGTAACCGATTACTTATATTATTTATGCAACTCTAATAGAACGTTCACTATTTTGTTATCATTTCCAATAGATTAGAATAAAATAAAGAAATAGACATGAAATCACAACAACTAAAAGTGTCAAAAGAAGGCAGACGAAGAAATTCTTGTGTTTAGGTATAATTGGTTTGGCTATAATTCTGCTGCTGGTAGTGTATGCCTCAACTGCTGCCACCAATGAAAAGACATGACTCGTTGTATATTCTGTGATATAGTGGCCGGAAAGTCGCCCAATACCAAATTGGAAGTAGAAACCGATGAATATGTGATATTTAAAGATATTAAACCAGCTTCAACTTACCACTATCTATGTGTAACGAAACGGCATATAGAAAGTTTAAAGGTCATGACCAAAGAAGATATACCATTAGGTGAGTAGAAGACAAATTTTGGTGGAAAATTTGTAATATGTACATACTTTTTTATTTTAGTCAACCGCATGGAGGAAGGTTTAAAGGGTTTCTTCAAATCGCAGGATATCGATCTTAATGATGCTTTATTTGGCTTCCACATGCCTCCCTTTATAAGTGTCAAACATTTGCATATGCATGGTATAGCACCACGTTCTAATATGTCTTGGACTAATAGTTTTATGTTTAACCATCTTCATATTGGTTTAAAAACGGTAAGTATTTTTAAAACAATATTAAAAGGAAAATGCTTTAAATTTGTTTCTATTCAAGGTTGAGGACGCTAGACAGTATTTGGAAATAAATCATAAAGTTTTGTCACTTCCATTTAGGGTTTATAATTAACTAAATTTATAAGTCATTGCACGTTTTTCAATATTGGTTTTAGGTACAAATTTATAATAAATTAGCCATATTTTTCCACTCATACATAAAAATTATGTAAATTGTATATTTTTTGTTGTATTTTTTAAAGATGTAAATGAAATTGCAATAAGTTTAAAAATAAAATGATAAATAAAAGATTGCTATACAAACATGACGTCACATAAAAGAGATAGTAATCTAAGGTGAATGCCTGCAGAAAAGGAAATATGTAAACAAAAGTGAACCGTTAGTTAAGAGTTGTATTTGTTTTCTGCACTTAGCTTACTTTTTTTTCTATATAATTTTTTTTGTTGTGATTAAAGTTTGACAGTTAGCGCCTTTTTGTTGTTTAGTTTCCTTTTGTTTGCAATAAATTCAGTCACTTTTTCTTATAGGATTTAGAAAAAAAAAGATCTTAATAAGAAAATTCTAATTTTTACCAACAAATTTAGAAATTTAATGGAAAAAATGTGTTGTTTATGTGGTGTGTGTTAGAAAAATTAAAATAAATCTGTGAAAAGAGTAAAATAGAAAATTTTGCGAAAAGTTTTGTTTAAAATTCAGTAAGTCAAGATCAATTATAATATTTTATTAGTCGCATATAAAATAAATTAAAAATTAAATTATATTTTACTAAAATATGGCCTGTTTTGTATAAAAAGTGATTGAAAAGTAAAATATGTTTAAAATAAAGCAAAATGTGTCAACGTCCTAAGATGTTCCAGAGGCCGCCAGCAATATGAAGGTAAGTTGATTATTATAGTCTCAACCTTAGTTAACAATATACTATATGTACATACAAGTTTTACATTAAATTAAAGATCATTGAAGGGCAACACAATAATAATTTGTTACAACAGCACCAGGATTCTAGGCAAGAGTTGCCAGTTTTATCGTTATACTTATGAAAGTGTTGTACAAATCTTGGATAGGTATACTATCAATTAAATTTTAAAGCATTACTTAGATCTTTTGTCAAAGATGTTTTTTAAAACATTGTAAGGCAACACAATAATGATTTGTTACAACAGCACCAGCACCATTCGAGGGAAGGAGTTGCCAGTTATAGCGATATCCTTAAGAAAGTGTTGTACTAGTCTTGGATAGGTATATTATCAATTGAATGTTAACATTTTCTATAAAAAGAAAATTTCTATAGAAAAGAAAAAAATTTGTATATGAAATTTTACCAAAAATTTATGTGAATCACAATTTGTCAATAATTTTTTTGTACATAGTCGACTTTCGATCTCCTATATAAGGCCTATGCCTACTAAATACTGGTTAAGTCTCGTATCTGTATATTATAGATCATGTGTACATAGTTGTTTGATATAAATAAATAGTATATTTCTTGTAGTACCAAGAATTGGTATTAATCATACATTATCTGTGAACAAATGAAAAGTGTAAAGTAAAAGAATAACAAATAAAAATACTAAGAAAAACAATACGAAATTATTGTGCTTTTCCCAAACTATTTAGTTTTATTAAGGTGGGCATTAGTGGATGTCTTAACTGTTCGAAAGGAAACAATGGTGTTTTGTGTATTCTGTGATATATCAAGGGGAAATCACCCAGTACTAAAATTGAAGTAGAAACTGATGAATATGTGATATTTAAAGATATTAAACCAGCTTCAAAATATCATTTTCTATGTGTAACGAAAAGACACATAGAATGCCTACAGAAATGACCAAAGATGATATATCTTTAGGTAAGTGGAGTTAAAATAATAATGGTAAATAATAACAAATAGAATATGTATTTTTATTTAGTCAATCAAATGGAAGAAGGTCTGCAGAGATTTTTCAAATCCTTAAATATTGATCTTAATGAGGCTTTACTGGGCTTTCACATGCCACCTATTATAAGTGTTTATCATTTGCATATGCATGGCATAGCACCAGGTACCGACATGTCCTCGCATGATAGATATTTGTTTTAAAACTCCCTCCTATTGGTTTAAAACGGTATGTTGGAGTTATTTTTGAAACAAATGTAATATGTATCTAACAAATTTCCAGGTGGAGGAGGCCAACCAGTATTTAGCTAGTAATCATAAACTTGTACACTTGTTGAAAGGCACAAAGGCACAGTTGTAGTGGGTAAACAGATACTCAAATAATAAATACTTAAATTATTAATTATTTTTGCTTTGTTTTAAATTTAATTATGTAAATTGTTTCATTTTATGTTTTTAATAAAAAAACAACAAAATGTAAATGTAAATAAAGAATAAAAGACAAACAAAAATATTTGTTTTTTGGTAAACAAACAAAGACGTCACTAGTCAAAATATACCGGGAAAAACAGATATTGACATAAAGGAAATAATAACAGTGCCACTACGTTAGGATTGTAAATATGGCATGTTGAAATCTGGCAACTTCTTTGTTTTGTTGTTTTAAAACAATTTGACATCGCGCCTTTTTGTTGTTTAGTTTCCTTTTGTTTGCATTGAAATCTGTTTAGTTTTTCTAATAGGATTTAGAAAAAGATTTTAATAAGAGAATTTCAATTTTTAACGACAAAAAAATTAGTGTTTTACATAGAAAAATGTGTGTTTATCATGTGGTGTGTGTTGAAAATGAAAATATATCTGTACAAAGTGATAAATAGAAAATTTTAGGAAATTTTTGGTTTAAAGTCCAGTTAGTCAAGATCAATTAATATTTTATTAATTGCAAGTAAAATAAATCATATTTTACTAAAATATGGCCTGTATAAGTGTTTAAAATGTAATGTACAATATATATGTAAACGTCCAAAGATGTTCCTGAGAACAACAGCAATTATGAAGGTTAGTTAATTTTTTTTCATCCTTTGTTGAACGTTTTATTAAATGGAGGAATAAATAGAACACAATTACACTATAGACTAGACTATAGACTAGAACACAATAAACTATGGACTAGACTATAGACTAGACTATGGACTAGACTATAGACTAGACTATAGACTAGACTATAGACTAGACTATAGACTAGACTATAGACTAGACTATAGACTAGACTATAGACTAGACTATAGACTAGATATAGACTAGACTATAGACTAGACTATAGACTAGACTATAGACTAGACTATAGACTAGACTATAGACTAGACTATAGACTAGACTATAGACTAGACTATAGACTAGACTATAGACTAGACTATAGACTAGACTATAGACTAGACTATAGACTAGATATAGACTAGACTATAGACTAGACTATAGACTAGACTATAGACTAGATATAGACTAGACTATAGACTAGACTATAGACTAGACTATAGACTAGACTATAGACTAGACTATAGACTAGATATAGACTAGACTATAGACTAGACTATAGACTAGACTATAGATAGACTATAGACTAGACTATAGACTAGACTATAGACTAGACTATAGACTAGACTATAGACTAGACTATAGACTAGACTATAGACTAGACTATAGACTAGACTATAGACTAGACTATAGACTAGACTATAGACTAGACTATAGACTAGACTATAGACTAGACTATAGACTAGACTATAGACTAGACTATAGACTAGACTATAGACTAGACTATAGACTAGACTATAGACTAGACTATAGACTAGACTATAGACTAGACTATAGACTAGACTATAGACTAGACTATAGACTAGACTATAGACTAGACTATAGACTAGACTATAGACTAGACTATAGACTAGACTATAGACTAGACTATAGACTAGACTAAGACTAGACTATAGACTAGACTATAGACTAGACTATAGACTAGACTATAGACTAGACTATAGACTAGACTATAGACTAGACTATAGACTAGACTATAGACTAGACTATAGACTAGACTATAGACTAGACTATAGACTAGACTATAGACTAGACTATAGACTAGACTATAGACTAGACTATAGACTAGACTATAGACTAGACTATAGACTAGACTATAGACTAGACTATAGACTAGACTATAGACTAGACTATAGACTAGACTATAGACTAGACTATAGACTAGACTATAGACTAGACTATAGACTAGACTATAGACTAGACTATAGACTAGACTATAGACTAGACTATAGACTAGACTATAGACTAGACTATAGACTAGACTATAGACTAGACTATAGACTAGACTATAGACTAGACTATAGACTAGACTATAGACTAGACTATAGACTAGACTATCTAGACTATAGACTAGACTATAGACTAGACTATAGACTAGACTATAGACTAGACTATAGACTAGACTATAGACTAGACTATAGACTAGACTATAGACTAGACTATAGACTAGACTATAGACTAGACTATAGACTAGACTATAGACTAGACTATAGACTAGACTATAGACTAGACTATAGACTAGACTATAGACTAGACTATGACTAGACTATAGACTAGACTATAGACTAGACTATAGACTAGACTATAGACTAGACTATAGACTAGACTATAGACTAGACTATAGACTAGACTATAGACTAGACTATAGACTAGACTATAGACTAGACTATAGACTAGACTATAGACTAGACTATAGACTAGACTATAGACTAGACTATAGACTAGACTATAGACTAGACTATAGACTAGACTATAGACTAGACTATAGACTAGACTATAGACTAGACTATAGACTAGACTATAGACTAGACTATAGACTAGACTATAGACTAGACTAGACTAGAGACTAGACTAGACTATAGACTAGACTAGACTAGACTAGACTGACTAGACTAGACTGACTAGACTATACTAGACTAGACTAGAGACTAGACTATAGACTAGACTAGACTATAGACTAGACTAGACTATAGACTAGACTAGACTATAGACTAGACTATAGACTAGACTATAGACTAGACTATAGACTAGACTATAGACTAGACTATAGACTAGACTATAGACTAGACTATAGACTAGACTATAGACTAGATACAGACTAGACTATAGACTAGACTATAGACTAGACTATAGACTAGACTATAGACTAGACTATAGACTAGACTATAGACTAGACTATAGACTAGACTATAGACTAGACTATAGACTAGACTATAGACTAGACTATAGACTAGACTATAGACTAGACTATAGACTAGACTATAGACTAGACTATAGACTAGACTATAGACTAGACTATAGACTAGACTATAGACTAGACTATAGACTAGACTATAGACTAGACTATAGACTAGACTATAGACTAGACTATAGACTAGACTACAGACTAGACTATAGACTAGACTATAGACTAGACTATAGACTAGACTATAGACTAGACTAGACTAGACTATAGACTAGACTATAGACTAGACTATAGACTAGACTATAGACTAGACTATAGACTAGACTATAGACTAGACTAGACTAGACTACAGACTAGACTATAGACTAGACTATAGACTAGACTATAGACTAGACTATAGACTAGACTATAGACTAGACTATAGACTAGACTATAGACTAGACTATAGACTAGACTATAGACTAGACTATAGACTAGACATAGACTAGACTATAGACTAGACTATAGACTAGACTATAGACTAGACTATAGACTAGACTATAGACTAGACTAGACTAGACTATAGACTAGACGACTAGACTATAGACTAGACTATAGACTAGACTATAGACTAGACTATAGACTAGACTATAGACTAGACTAGACTAGACTAGACTAGACTATAGACTAGACTATAGACTAGACTATAGACTAGACTATAGACTAGACTATAGACTAGACTATAGACTAGACTATAGACTAGACTATAGACTAGACTATAGACTAGACTATAGACTAGACTATAGACTAGACTATAGACTAGACTATAGACTAGACTATAGACTAGACTAATACTAGACTATAGACTAGACTATAGACTAGACTAGACTATAGACTAGACTAGACTAGACTATAGACTATAGACTAGACTAGACTAGACTAGACTATAGACTAGACTATAGACTAGACTATAGACTAGACTATAGACTAGACTATAGACTAGACTATAGACTAGACTATAGACTAGACTATAGACTAGACTATAGACTAGACTATAGACTAGACTATAGACTAGACTATAGACTAGACTATAGACTAGACTATAGACTAGACTATAGACTAGACTATAGACTAGACTATAGACTAGACTATAGACTAGACTATAGACTAGACTATAGACTAGACTATAGACTAGACTATAGACTAGACTATAGACTAGACTATAGACTAGACTATAGACTAGACTATAGACTAGACTATAGACTAGACTATAGACTAGACTATAGACTAGACTATGAGACTATAGACTACTAGAGACTAGACTATAGACTAGACTATAGACTAGACTATAGACTAGACTATAGACTAGACTATAGACTAGACTATAGACTAGACTATATACTAGACTATAGACTAGACTATAGACTAGACTATAGACTAGACTATAGACTAGACTACAGACTAGACTAGACTATGACTAGTCTATATGAGACTATTATACTGGACAAAAATGTTCTAAAAAGTATATTTATCTAAAAATTTCTATTAAAAGAAAAGGAATTTTATCGAATATTTTCTATAAAAGGAACATTTTATCTATTTCTGACTAAGTATATATCTGTCACTTTGACAGCTATCATTATTAAACAACCCTTATTCCTTTACACACTACTTAACCGTTAAGTCAAAACACATGCTTCCTCTGTTCCTCAGTTAGAAACTTAATCGTCCTGCGTAAACAACATACAACAAAAACTAACAATGTGGCAAAATAAACAACAATTTACAATTTTTACAAATTTAGTCTTAATTTTAACACAATTTTTAAGTGAAATTTATTGTCTGCAAGAAAAGGGTACCGATGGCAAACCATTGGCCAAAGCAGCAACATTTCATTTTCCCGAATATGCCTACAAGGAGACAAGTAAAAATGTAGGTCAAAGTTTTAATTATAGAAAATCTGTAAAAGAATTATTGATTTTCTAGACATAGAAAAGAGATTAGCATAAAACTAATTTAAATTAATTTATTTTAAAAACACCCAATAAAAGGAACTAACATACCATGATTTCGAGGTTAATTGTGAACATCATGTAGCCTGCGAAAATCTTGAAGGTGTTAAACGAAAAGCCTGTGTTAGACGTTGTATATCATATTCATGTTATCAGGATATTTACGCTTTCGATGAGGTGTGTATTTTGTGATATGTATTTATATTGGCTATAAATAAGTTTACTCTTAAATTTTATTTGAAACAGCTGGAAGAGGGTGAAATTGATGTGCGCCTTAATTCGTTTAAGGGCTGTGTCATTCAAAGAACCGGCAATACTAATCGTCGTGCCACCTAGCATAGGGCCTTACGTCTTCAATTCGATGAATTTTTACATGATTTGCATTGGAAATTTTCAAATTTATTGAAACATTTTACCTAGGAAGCAGTATTAATTGTTATTATTTCTTTTATTATGATTTTAATGTAAAACTTTTAAAGTGGATAATGTTTGCAAAAGTATTAATTTATACAGATATTTATCTAAGATATATTGGAAATTGTAGCAATCAATTATGAAAACGTATAAGTATTTTTCTTAAATACAAAATTTTTTTATCAGATTAGCATAGTAAAGAAATATACCTGTACTAGTTAGTATTATAATATATAACAATTATTTATTTTCAACAACAACAACGTCTTTACAAAGTAAGCCTAAGAGAGTACATCAACTATTGAGTATTTTGTATAATATTGAAACCCGGTTATATTGTAAAACACAAAATTTCGTTTTGTCTGTGTTCGGCGGGACATTTGGACCTTCTCTAAGGAAAGATTAGATTCAAACTTAGAGGTTAGACTACTTGAACATGTTATCAACCTATAATCAGACCAAAATGATACATTTTTGCAGCGAAAAATGTCGAGGAAAATTCCATGATCATAGGGACTAATTCACGGATTACGCACTTAGGCTATTAGGCTCTATCTCTGGACGTTTGAAATGTGTTCATACTACTCTGGTTTACCGGTGTTAAATCGTACGATCCTTTGGGCCATTCTTAGATCCAAATGGAAAATCGTAGCTAAACAAATGTTTGCAAATTGCAGGTTCTCTAAAGAATTTATAGTTCAATTCTAGTTTAGTTCTAGTTCAGTTCTAATTCAGTTCTAATTCAGTTCTAGTTCAGTTCTAGTTCTGTTCTAGTTCTGTTCTAGTTCAGTTCTAGTTCAGTTCTAGTTCAGTTCTAGTTCAGTTCTAGTTCAGTTCTAGTTCAGTTCTAGTTCAGTTCTAGTTCAGTTCTAGTTCAGTTCTAGTTCAGTTCTAGTTCAGTTCTAGTTCAGTTCTAGTTCAGTTCTAGTTCAGTTCTAGTTCAGTTCTAGTTCAGTTCTAGTTCAGTTCTAGTTCAGTTCTAGTTCAGTTCTAGTTCAGTTCTAGTTCAGTTCTAGTTCAGTTCTAGTTCAGTTCTAGTTCAGTTCTAGTTCAGTTCTAGTTCAGTTCTAGTTCAGTTCTAGTTCAGTTCTAGTTCAGTTCTAGTATAGTTCTAGTATAGTTCTAGTATAGTTCTAGTTCAGTTCTAGTTCAGTTCTAGTTCAGTTCTAGTTCTAGTTCAGTTCTAGTTCAGTTCTAGTTCAGTTCTAGTTCAGTTCTAGTTCAGTTCTATTCAGTTCTAGTTCAGTTCTAGTTCAGTTCTAGTCAGTTCTAGTTCTAGTTCAGTTCTAGTTCAGTTCTAGTTCAGTTCTAGTTCAGTTCTAGTTCAGTTCTAGTTCAGTTCTAGTTCAGTTCTAGTTCAGTTCTAGTTCAGTTCTAGTTCAGTTCTATTTCAGTTCTAGTTCAGTTCTAGTTCAGTTCTAGTTCAGTTCTAGTTCAGTTCTAGTTCAGTTCTAGTTCAGTTCTAGTTCAGTTCTAGTTCAGTTCTAGTTCAGTTCTAGTTCAGTTCTAGTTCAGTTCTAGTTCAGTTCTAGTTCAGTTCTAGTTCAGTTCTAGTTCAGTTCTAGTTCAGTTCTAGTTTCAGTTCTAGTTCAGTTCTAGTTCAGTTCTAGTTCAGTTCTAGTTCAGTTCTAGTTCAGTTCTAGTTCAGTTCTAGTTCAGTTCTAGTTCAGTTCTAGTTCAGTTCTAGTTCAGTTCTAGTTCAGTTCTAGTTCAGTTCTAGTTCAGTTCTAGTTCAGTTCTAGTTCAGTTCTAGTTCAGTTCTAGTTCAGTTCTAGTTCAGTTCTAGTTCAGTTCTAGTTCAGTTCTAGTTCAGTTCTAGTTCAGTTCTAGTTCAGTTCTATTTCAGTTCTAGTTCAGTTCTAGTTCAGTTCTAGTTCAGTTCTAGTTCAGTTCTAGTTCAGTTCTAGTTCATTCTTAGTTCAGTTCTAGTTCAGTTCTAGTTCAGTTCTAGTTCAGTTCTAGTTCAGTTCTAGTTCAGTTCTAGTTCAGTTCTAGTTCAGTTCTAGTTCAGTTCTAGTTCAGTTCTAGTTCAGTTCTAGTTCAGTTCTATTGTAGGTCAAGTTCAATTAATTCTGGTTCAGTTCCATTTCATTTTTTGAATACGCTTTGACTTTTTGAATACTAGTTGATGTACTTCTCAACTTTTCAATCATCTTTAAACAAACCAATTATAATTTTTCTCTTCAATTTACGAAATAAAATAACAAAATATGTATGCATTTATTATACATAGCTTATTATTAATTAATTAATATTATAAATTTATTAAAACATAGAATTAAAAATAATAAAAAATAAAATTTTTCAATAATATAATAAGTACCTACACATAAAAGTAAAATCTTATTTTCACAACAAATTATGGCTGGGTATAAGTTTCTTAGAGTTTTTAGTTATTTTTTTTATACATATTTCTGTTCTGTTTTTAAACTTCAGCACGCCTTTTACGGCTAAAAGTCAAATGTAGTTTAAAAAAATTTAAGTAGGCGTTTGAAGTCTCTTAAAAAACAGATTTCTTTAAAGATATTTAATCTCCTCTTAAACATCTTTTTGTTTCTTTTTTGTTAAATAGTTCTTTTTAATTAAACTGGATTAGCATTGAAATATAGTGTTTAATAATTTTTGTTAATTAGATTCTGGTTTCTCATGTAACCAGGGTCGAAATATGGGTAATGTGGAGGGATAATGCGTATCGGGTTTAAGCACCGAATCTGGCCAAGTATTTGATATATCATTGCCTGTCGAACGGAAAGGATATGTTGCTAAAACTATGGGCAGTTGTAGTTTAATTTCCTTTTCCAAAGACTTGGGTTCAATGACAAAGAAAACATCGTAGGATATTTTTATCAAGTGGCAACCATGCAGATTTGTTGGTGGCAAAGGTGGCACATAGAGACTATCATTTTGCCATTCATCTTTACCGCCAGGACGGATTTTACCGCGTACTAACACGGCCAAAGCACGTTTCTCAGTTTGCACCACTTTACCGCGAGCCAAATATTCTATGGTCTGGGGGGAAATAAATAGTGATTGATTATAACTATAATAAAATCTTAGTAAATTTCAAAAGTTACCTCCGTCAGCGATGCTTTGGTTCTTTTAATGGTGGCATTACTGTGATTAGATATGAAGGCCGTCACTAATACACTTTCCCCAGGCACATAACCACCACGATCAAGGGCAACTCGGCATTTAACCATGCCACCGCCTACACAGGCCACACCCATTTTATGCTCCACCTCACAAGTAAAAGGTTGCTAAATAAAATACAATTTTTATTATTAATTAAAAAAACATAAAATTTGGACCAATTTTAAAACTTACCGCCAATATTGGCTTTTCCATATTCAAATCGATGGGATTCATGACAATAAATACTTGATGATTTTTATGAATCAAACCATTGGGCTCTCTCAAGGCCGCCTTACAATAATACTGGATCCAACCATAACGTCCCAAAAAAGTTGAAGGTAAACCCAAAGGCAAACCCAACTTAAAGGGAAAACTATGTATGCCGGGTGATAAAACTGTAGGACCTTGATCGACATCACCCAATAAACGCATACGAAAATCTATATAATTTTCTTTATCATAAGTACCACGTTCTTGGCGCCCAGTGCCCGCTCTCACGACACCTTCACCCACTACATGAAAGTGTAAGCCCAAGGCGGGTGTGTCATCTTGCAGTTCCAATAATACTCGACCCGATAGAAATTGGCCGGGAAAATACAGCAGTGAGGTATTATCGAATATAATAAGAAATTTTAAAAGTTTACGAGGCATTTTCGTATGACCACTACTGCTATTGAATGCTGGCTAGTTGGTTTGGTTGGATTGTCATATATTTAACTGCAATTTAAATGTAGTTTAAGGTCATGTTTCCAGTCATGCAAGAGATATATTGGATCTGTAAATAAATCGAAATGAGAACAACGTTATTTAGCTATTTGCGTCTATAAAAGTTGACCTACATTTATGCGTTTAATTGAAAATTGTTTGAAAATTATCATTTAATTACTTATTTGTTTGTTAAATTTCCACCTGTTGAACATGTTTTTTTTTTCGTAAAATATAGTAGAGGTGTGATGAGGAAGAGATACTTTTATATGGGTGTTTAAAGTTTGTTAAAAGGTTTATAACACTTTATACAGAAATTCATGGTTCTATTTTAATAATTTTAAAAATAAATTTTAATAGTTTTAAAATATTTTTAAAGATCTTTTCGAAAATTTAATGTTCAAAAAAATTACACTATAGACTAGACAATAGAATAGACTATAGACTGGACTATAGACTAGACTGTAGACTAGACTATAGACTAGACTATAGACTAGACTATAGACTAGACAATAGAATAGACTATAGACTGGACTATAGACTAGACTGTAGACTAGACTATAGACTAGACTAGACTATAGACTAGACTATAGACTAGACTATAGACTAGACTATAGACTAGACTATAGACTAGACTATAGACTAGACTATAGACTAGACTATAGACTAGACTATAGACTAGACTATAGACTAGACTATAGACTAGACTATAGACTAGACTATAGACTAGACTATAGACTAGACTATAGACTAGACTATAGACTAGACTATAGACTAGACTATAGACTAGACTATAGACTAGACTATAGACTAGACTATAGACTAGACTATAGACTAGACTATAGACTAGACTATAGACTAGACTATAGACTAGACTATAGACTAGACTATAGACTAGACTATAGACTAGACTATAGACTATACTATAGACTATACTATAGACTAACTATAGACTAGACTATAGACTAGACTATAGACTAAAAGACTAGACTATAGACTAGACTATAAACTAGACTATAGACTAGACTACTAAAACTAAGACTAGACTATAGACTAGACTATAGACTAGACTATAGACTAGACTATAGACTAGACTATAGACTAGACTATAGACTAGACTATAGACTAGACTATAGACTAGACTATAGACTAGACTATAGACTAGACTTATAGACTAGACTATAGACTAGACTATAGACTAGACTATAGACTAGACTATAGACTAGACTATAGACTAGACTATAGACTAGACTATAGACTAGACTATAGACCAGACTATAGACTAGACTATAGACTAGACTATAGACTAGACTATAGACTAGACTATAGACTAGACTATAGACTAGACTATAGACTAGACTATAGACTAGACTAGACTAGACTATAGACTAGACTATAGACTAGACTATAGACTAGACTATAGACTAGACTATAGACTATAGACTAGACTATAGACTAGACTATAGACTAGACTATAGACTAGACTATAGACTAGACTATAGACTAGACTATAGACTAGACTATAGACTAGACTATAGACTAGACTATAGACTAGACTATAGACTAGACTATAGACTAGACTATAGACTAGACTATAGACTAGACTATAGACTAGACTATAGACTAGACTATAGACTAGACTATAGACTAGACTATAGACTAGACTATAGACTAGACTATTAGACTAGACTATAGACTAGACTATAGACTAGACTATAGACTAGACTATAGACTAGACTATAGACTAGACTATAGACTAGACTATAGACTAGACTATAGACTAGACTATAGACTAGACTATAGACTAGACTATAGACTAGACTATAGACTAGACTATAGACTAGACTATAGACTAGACTATAGACTAGACTATAGACTAGACTAT